TAACTGATTAGAAGCTTTGTATTTATCTGTGATTAATTACACCCTGCATTAAATTTAAAATACGTATGAAGCTCCTTTACAATTTTATTAATAAGTGGATTAATGATCTTAACTTTTCAATTTGTTGTGTAGTTGAGAAACATTAACAAAGGTACAATTAATACTGGACGGATAGTAATATTTTGGCAGGTGATTCAATCTGAAATCCTCATTATTTTCAAAGACAAATGTTTCAAACGAAATATTAGAAAAAATTAGTATCAGAAACAAGTATTGGATCTGTTGCGCTTTGTATAATGAAAACTATTGCAATGTTTTCGGGGAGTGTTGAAGTAAGATATCTCACTAGCATTCAGTCATAGTTAAATAATCACATAATACACGATAGATTTGAAACTTATCGTTAAAGCTTTTCATTCTAAGGACCCGAAGGTGTACACAATTATTTATTCTCGCTATGTCCAGTGTCCTTGCTACACAAAAAATAAAAACTGAAAATATGAAAAATAGGACCACAAAGATTACAGTTAGAGTTTTATTTCTTATCATTTCTACTTTTTTTTTGTTGATGTCCTTCTATGAGTACTGTATTACTGTTTTATATTTACATAAATGTTTATTTTGTTAATTTAATGTGAACAACTGTTGTTTTTCTTTTTTGGTTCACACTACAGAGTGTCTGCTGTACTCCATGTTCTTCAATTTAAAAAAAAGTTTAAAGTGTGCATTGTTAAAAGAGTCTGTGTTGTCGTTATTTATTTTTCTTTTACNTATAATGTATATATATTATAAATAAGTTATAAACACCACGAAAAAAATGCAATAAATAATTACTCTTCTGAATTTAAAGCATGTTTATAATATAGAAATTGGTATAGTTCACTTCTAAGCACTTTTTACTCTTACAATACTTTGTTTTTAAACACTGACAACTTCTAACAATTTAAACTCTAGATTTTATTGAAATTTGCAAATGTTATATCAATAACTTATGCAAAAATTATTACAGTTCAGTTGTATTAAAATAACATCATATTTTTATTGCATCTGTAATAACTTACCCTTTCGACAAAACAAACAAAGAACCACTTCAATGAATATAGAATGGCATCGAGTCCATGCTTGTCAAAATGTTTCTTAAGACCTGGCATAAATTTCGTTAATATACGATCATGATGAGCAAGAAAGCGTGTCAATTTCGGAAAGCCTTCTTTATAAAGACCGTGCATTGAGAATTTTGGATCGGTCAATAAGATATGCATTGCCCAAAAAGCATCTTCTTCATCCATGTACATGAGAAGTACACCTGCTAATCCAGACATCCCTTGGCAATAGCCCACCTACAAATTATAATTATAAAATTGCAAAAGATTTATTTTCAGTGTAATAACAAATACCTCAGAATTGTACATTGCATAAGCGGTTAATACTTTAAAAAGAGATTGCTGTTTTATTCCATATCGTTCTCTATAAAAAAGATGTTCTCTAAACTGCCTATTGACATCAGAATCGATTTGTCTAGCATCAGTAGAATATTTTCTAGCTAATTTTAACATTTCATCATATTTTCCCCTATTTTCTGTTTTGGTTTTATCTAAACTTAATAAAAGACACCAAACTTGTGGACGTAAAGAGTTTGGAATGCCTTTGAAAACACGTTTGTGCAATTTTTCTTTAGTAACAGAAGAGTTCCATGACTTTAACATTTTACGCCATTTTTTAACTCTTTCCAATTCAATCTGTTGCTTTTTAGCTTCCTGCGGGTCCACTTTTGATGGTAACCGTTTATCATGAATGAAGCCATACCTGTTAGGCAGAATAAAACTTATATAGATAGTTTATTTATTTATAAATTACAATATTTTGAAATATTAATCATAATTATCAATTTTTTGTAAAGTAAAAAAAATCAACTTACAATACTTCTAAACTCTACATTCTAAAAATAACATCCTAGTTATTTACAACAACTGACCTGTTAATATACATAATTTACACTATATCTAAAATTTGACGGTTTTCCTTTTTGTTTCATTATTTTTTTAATTGCTTTAAATCTATTTATCCAACTGAGTATTAACATTATTGAAGACCAACAAAAACTATTCATTGACTTAATTTATCACTTGAACAACAATAGAAATGATTTAAAAAATCATACTGAAGACTAGTAGCTTTGGGATACACACCATTACAGTATTCTATAATTGTCTACAACATGGAATATGGAACCGTCAGTTGGAGGGGGAGAAAATGGATGTAAGGGGAGGGGATGAATTTTGTATAACACTAAAAAAATGTTTGGAGGAGTGGAGGCTACTGAAAAAACAAATATTGGAACAAAAACTAATGTGACCTAATCTAACATTGTTAAATTTCTTATGGAGTGACGTTTGCTTGGAGTTCAAATTGTACAATTGTATTAATGCAACAGCTGTACCCCTTTACCCACACCTAAAAACCTTTTTATTACTGTATAAAGTCATCCCCATCCGTTCCACCCATTCCCCACCTCCTCAGCCTGACTGTCCCATGTTGTAAACAATTGTCAAGTATTCAACTTGAAAATATAATTTGTAAAAAGACTCCTACTTACTACCTGTAAATTTAACTGTATATGTAAAAAATAAAACAGTGTTCTTACAAACTCTAAAAAGTAGTAAATAAATACAAAAGATAAAATATATACTGGTATCCACTATACTATATTGCCAAATAATTTTAAAAATCTATGTATTTGCAATACAAAATGCAATTCCTTGAAGCGAACATATTATATGGCACCAATAAAATGGAATGAAGAAATTAGGTAGGAATCGGTTTGTTATAATACTAAATAAAATGTATATGGAAACAGAGCAGACACTAACGTAAGTTTGTTATGTCCATTATTACTACACCTAAATTTGGCATGCTCAGGGAAATAATAATTTCAAAATTTTTAAAATATAACTGGGATTTTATTTCTTTCCAGTTGCTAAAACAATGAAATTAAATTATAGGATACTGTTCACTATAAAATTGGAATGTACTGTTATATTTTGTAAGTTAATAAACTGATTAATTTAGGAGGATAAACAACAACAAAATGTTAATATAACTTTGAATTCCAAAATCTTAACTTCTATTATTACATTTTTGCACGATCCAAAGAGTAGTCGCTTACTTTTCAATTAATTATTATGATTACTTGTAAAATCAACTCATTATACATTCTGCAAAAATCCTTTCCCTGAGTCAATACTTTTAACCAAAAACAATTAACGAAAGATACGTTCCTATTTTTCATTACTTTAAGTCAATTTCAGGGCTGTCAATTCTAAACGACCGGATCTGTCCATGTTCAACAAGAGGTGTTAGCAATTCATCATTATCCACCCTAATTCGTATTTTATTATCTGGGAATGTATTGGGTGGAACCTTCACGTCCCCATTATGGGGACTGACCAGNATATTAAGTTTTTTTCTATACATCGTGACATTCCCCAAATGTATATTATTTATTTTAAATATAAACAGTCTGATTTTTACAATCTATAATCAGCAAATGCCATATTAAACATTCATTTGATTTGTCAGTTTTTATTTACAAATGGCTAATAACAATAATATATAATTGCATTAAATTATTTATACACTTATTAAAAGTAGAATATATTTTTGGGCAAAAACATTGGCTACATTAAAGGGGGAGAATAGAATTAAAAGTGTAACTAGTTCCATCTTAATTTTATATAAACATTGCTCATTACAAAGAGACAAATAAAATGTACTCCATAGAATTTGTATTGGATGTGACTAAATTATTCTTGAACAAGAACACAGAAGGCCAAAACTGATGTAGTACATTGTAATGGATTTAAATGAGAATATTTCATCAGCATATAGTGAAGATGCATGTGTCAACACATCTTCAGGAAAGACAACATATAAGCGAAAACCTTTCAAATGTTTTTATCCAGACTGTCAATACTCTGGATTTTTTAATGACTTACTGAAACATTATTTTAAAAGGCACAAAGCTACTGATTCGTCAGACAAAAAGATACTTAGTTTTTACTCAATTCCACAAAGCAATTTTACAATAATTGCTCACAATCATATTTTCTACTTTAACATAACTTTAGCGGCTTCCGCAGAAGGATATTATGTAATAACCGAAATAAAAACTACAGGATTACATTTGAAACGATTTGTTGTTGTATTAGAATTAATGAGCAAATGTGCCACTTCAAATTTAACTTTGAAATCAAAAAAGTTTAAAGCTAAAAG